TGAAAGTAAGCACCTAAAAGCCTATCGAATTAAAGATAAATTATTCTAAATTCCTTTAATACACTGAAAGTAAGGTTGAACCTCGGTTCACGAATTTATTTCGTTCTTAAAGCCCGTTCGTAACCGGAAATTTTCGTTAACCGAAACCATTTTTCCAGTGGGAATCGCTGTAAAATGGATTAATCCGTTCCTGGTCCCAAGATGATTGCTTATTTAAACTTTTACAAAAGTAATTTGTGCACAAGCTTCTGCACAAAACTAATTAAAATCGTTAAATCTATGAAAAAAATAAACGCAATACTAAACATAAAATATAGACGAACACTTTAATTTTAGCGTACCTTTATGTAAGAGAGTTGATGGTGTAAGTGGAAGGGAAGGTAAGAGATGTTATTCTTTGAAAAAGGGATGGAAAGACATTTATATTATAAATTTTTTTATAAGAATAGTATAGATCGTTGATTTTGCCATATGAAACTGATTAGGAAGAGACAATGTCATCAACAATTGTTTTTCTTTTAACTTTTCTTTTTCGTTTAATAGTATCACTAGTAGCTTTCTTTGGAGCCATGACTGATGACTAATGACGAGAAGAAAAAAAAGGCACAGTACAATAAAATTGGAAAAGAAAAGCACGACACAACACACGAATGTATAAAATATGGCGCTCGACTTAGACATAATTCCGTTCGGCTTAATTCGGTTCGGCTCGGTAATGTTCGAGAACCGAAATTTTGTTTGATAACCGACGTATTTTTATCTTGAATATTCTGTTCGAAAACCGATTTCTTTGACATGTGAGACATTCAAGAACCGAGGTTGCTCTGTATTATGCTTTACCTTTTTAATGTTATCTTTCTTCTTTTACGTACCATGTCCGTTCAGAAAACGGACTATCATGGCTCTCCACAGCTTCTTCGATCCTTCGTATATCTTAGTAATGCTTACTTATTTCTTTTTTTTTTTACAGTCCCCGTTTTTTTAGGCAGATTAATCGTTGTCTGACTCTGCCACTCTTGCGACACTTCCACGTGATGTAATATTTAACAAGCTTCTCTCTCTAGATCACTTACGACTAAGTAAGTTCGATCTTCACTGGATGCCATATACTTTCGGCTTCATGCCAGATCGATGCTACGCTTAGAAAATCAGAGCATTTCTATGTGGTGTAATGGTTAACAAGCTTGTCTCGCTAGAACAGTTAAGACTGTATCCTCCACACTTTCGTACTTGTGTCACATCTAAGCTACAATTATAAAATCAGGGCATTTCTATGTGGTGTAATGGTTAACAAGCTTGTCTCTGTAGATCAATTACAACTGAATAGTTGGTTCGATCCTCACTAGGTAACCCATACTTTCGACCTTGAGCCACATTTAAGCTAAGCTTAGAAAACCAACATAATGCAATTCGACGTGGAGTAATGGTTAACAAGCTTGCCTCGCTAGATTTAATTACGACTGAATAGTAAGATTGATCCTGAGAGGGTGCTCAATACTTTTGGCCTCGTGCCACACCTAAGCCACGCTTATAAAATCAGGGCATTTCGATATGGTATAATGTTTAGCAAGATTGTTTCGCTAAATCAATTACAACTGAATTGTGAAATCGATTTTCAATGGCTGCTCTATACATTCGGTCTTGCCCATCTTTTATCAATATGTTCTGTGAGGGTCAAATTCTCCAAGCATTCTTTCCTCCTCATAGGTCCTAGAAAAGCCAGTTGTCTCTTTTTGATTGCAAGCAAAAGTATATTCCATGTTTCTATTTTCATTAAAACTTCCTAGTTGCTCGCATGTTCCGTCCATGGTATTCTCAGGATCCTTCTGTAGAACCACATTTCCGTGACCTCAACCGTTCATTTCATCTGGTTCGGTTACCGTTTGTTAAAATATCTATCTATCTATCTATCTATCTATCTATCTATCTATCTATCTATCTATCTCGATCTGTTACAGTTTATTTAGATCTGCCTATCTGTCTATCTGTTGGTTACAGACGGTTAAAAATCTATCTATCTATCTATCTATCTATCTATCTATCTATCTATCTATCTATCTGTCACAGACTGGTAGAAATCAATGTATTTTAAGAAATTTTCACAGAAAATATTCGTTCTCCGAAAATTTCTCGGACATTCAGGCCAGTAAATGTTGTTTAATACTGTTCATTATAAACAGAGCATTTACTTAAATATTTGTATCTATAAAAAAATTGCATAAACATAAAAATGTCTTAAAATAATTGTCTGACTTCCTTCATTTCGTAATGTGTTAAATCAATGTATCTATCTATTTATCGATCTGTTACAGACGGTTAAAATCAGTGTATCTATCTATCTATCTATCTATCCATCTATCTATCTATCTATCTATCTATCTATCTATCTATCCATCCATCTATCTATCTATCTATCTATCTATCTGTTACAGACAGCTAAAAATCAGTCAATCTATCTATCTATCTATCTATCTATCCATCTATCTATCTGTTACAGGCTGTTAGAAATCAATGTATCTTTCTATTTATAGATCTGTTACAGGATTAAAAATCGGTCTATGTATCTATTTATCTATCTATCCACTAAAGACTGGTAAAATTCTATCTATCTATGATATTTACATTATTTTCTTGCGGTCATGTATCCATATCTTTATTGCTATTATGCCAACGTTTCGCTCGTTGTTTCCTATTGCCTTCATCAGGTGTATTTCTCTCTGGGTAACTTGCAGGGAATTCCGCATTAAACCCCTTCTTTAGAGTATGTCGTCTAGTTCTTATATTTAGTACAGCGCAGTTATTTCTCATTATGCTGAATCCCATTACAAACTGCCCGTCCCAGAGTTTGAACCGGCAATTACTACATCGCTAAATGCACAAATCAACGCTCTAACCACCTACGCTATCGCCCAGAACCTGGGGCCGTAAACTTAACACGCATAATGATGAGTTGTCTGAATTGTTCACTTCATCTCCGAGGAAATTGTCCAGCATTCATTGCCACATAGGAGGACAAATAGAGCTTTTTGTTTTTTGAATGGGATTTTTCATTTACATAATAGATTGCTTAGCGTCCAGAAGGCATCTTTTTCTTGTAAATCAGTGTTTCTTTCTTTCTTTCTTTCTTTATTTTTTTTTAATTGGACTCCGATAAAAATACTCGTCAATGTTTAAACGATTATATTCATCGCCAATCTTGTTTAATCTACGTAGCTGATCTACGGTTTAATAAACTCGATTCTTGGCTTTCTGAAATTTTAATTCCGTTAGTACATTTAAGACTAAAGTGTAAAGCAGACACGGGAATAAATATTCATAGACTCATATATCCGTAAAGATCTGCCTGCTGAAAGTGTTTGTCAGTCTATCTATTTGTAAAATTTAATCATCCGACAGTTTAAAACTCTATGCCCCCGCGTTCAAATTTTCTGCCAGACGATCACCCCCCACACCACACACCGGTAATTAGTTTCCCGCTGTATTTATCTACGCTTCGAATACGATACTTTGCTACTAAAAAAATGACAAAGGCGGTCACTCTGTACAAGGCTCAAGAGCCGATCAAGGTAGAGGGTTACAGTATAAGAGGCACAGTTTATGCGTCTATATGGCGGTTGACCGAGAGGTGAACAGATTATAGTCACAGGGAAAGCACCTTCTTAGGAGTTGGTTAATAAATTGCGAACAGTTCTCAATTCTGAAGTATGGCTGCCGATAAGGATATAAAATTATGAATATTCTATGGCAATATGGATTAAATCCGACTATAAAAAGGGAAATAAATCAAGAACAGGCGGGGAGACCTTTAAATTAATTTAGATTATTAAAGAGATTGGTCAATGTATCATTCAAACAGATTAATTTTAAATGATCATCGTAAATAATATGGAGTAATCCTATTTCCTATTGTTTATATATATATATATATATATATATATATATATATATATATATATATATATATGTGTGTGTGTGTGTGTGTGTGTGTGTGTGTGTGTGTGTGTGTGTGTGTAAGCAAATATATGGATATAAATCCGACAGTATGAAAAAAATATACTGAAAAAACAAACAAAAGTCCTAATATGCGATTATGCTGTTTTAATGTTTAATGTCAACGTCGGACGTTTCGGTCTAATAGACCACCTTCAGGACATATTCATAAAACATAATTAACATAGACCATATACAATTCAACATGAAAAAGACGATGGACATAAAAGCAATACCAATCCAATTTCAGTTATCTGTTTGGATTAGTATTGCTTTTATGTCCATATAATCATATCTTATTTTATGTCCCACTATAATCATATCCCATGTGCTGCTGTCGGGCTGTCAATTTCCTATGAACTGATCTGCTTGACCCTCATACGCCGAATTCGACGGGAGAGTCGAGTATATATATATATATATATATATATATATATATATATATATATATATATATATATATATATAATTATTTATTTAAAAAAAAAAGTAACATAAATATATTATAAAATCAATACAAAAATAGCCATTTTGTTTCAACCACTTGATTAGACACCGGAGGTGGTGAAACAAAATGGCTATTTTTGTATTGATTTTATAACATATTTATGTTATAATTTTTTTAAAATAAATAATTATATCTGCTCTACTCTGTAATGAGCACTCTTTTAAGAATAGTAATTGTTGGTTATTGGAATTCATTCTGTATACACCAATTATATATATATATATATATATATATATATATATATATCTGTGAGTGTGTGTGTGAATGAGAAATATAGTTTTAATGTATGCCGTATTTATCGGATAAAGTGGTCAGTATCATAGATAGAGCGTATGTAAGTATAAAAGTGAACTTTGAAGTCAACACTCAGAGCTGACAGACTGTTTCATGCTAAACACAATCGTCAGGCGACACATACACACACATGCACATATATATATATGTGAAATGCAATTTATTATATATATTATTTGTATATATATATATATATATATATATATATATATGCGTGGTACTTAATAGAAAACGCTCAATATCAGTGATAGAGCTAGCACATTTAGTTGGATTGATGTGAGTTTGTGACCCTGTTAAGTATGTTATTTTCTAGAGTAGTCATGTAGAAGTTGTGAAATGTTGGCCCCAGAGCTGAACCCATAGACACACCATCGCATTGTATGTATATATTATTTTGATGTCCTAAGTTGGTCTTAGGAAAATAAAAATTATTTGAAAGATCAAATATTAAAACTGAACCACAGAGAGCGCAATTAATTTATTAAAACAGAGCATATATCGCTCACTCGACTCTTCCATCGAATCCGACGTACGAGGGTCAAGCAGATCAGTTCCCAGAAAGCCGACAGCCCGACAACAGCACATGAGAATTGTTTATAGTGGTGAAGTTTTCGTACAGGACCATCCACACTTTTTGAAGGGCCGAATACAGAGACCTGGTGCACTACGTGCCACAAGGTCCCCAAACGACCCTCCAGCTATGGGTAAATAGCAGGACAGACTGGGTTCTATAGCCTTGGATGGCAACTGGTCTAGGAGAAGGACAACTCTGAATTCAAAACCTGCGGAGAGATATATATATATATATATATATATATATATATATATATATATATATATCAGTGCAAAAATCCATAAGCATCTCATGTGGCTATAGTCTCATTCAGAACTGCAAAACGTAATGACGATCATCAACAGCGCTCGAATGGCAGACAGTCATGTGAGGGCTGATGAGGATCAGCATTACGTTGTGCCGATCTGAAATAGACTATACGCACATGAGGTAATTTTGGATTTTTGCTGTAAAATATATGAGTTAACAAAAAAGTCCTTGCCTTGTTTTACGCCTTGCGAAAAAAGTGCTCACGGATACGCAAACGAGTGCCTCACGTGCTCGGAAAAAAAGGGTGGCTGGGGTGGCATTGCCCTTGATCAATCAGTCATCTTTGACAACCGCTTTGAAGCATTGCTTTGTCGAAGAATGTCATTTGAGGATGTTTGTTTTATGTCGGTCTGTATTTAAGCTAGGTCTTGCGGAGGAATCTTATCATTACAATTTTCGGTATATAACTATTATTTTTAGTTTCTGCTTTGGTTGTTACCTCTCCCTCCCACGTTTAGTTTATCAGAAATGTTTTTATTTACACATCTATTTGCATTTATTATTTTTAATCACTTCAATTATTCATTTATTTGCTTTGTTCATTTATTTATTTATTTATTTGTATATTTACAAGTTCCTGTATATGGCTTTCATTTCATTTTATTTTACCTCTTCTTATCTTACTTTATCACGGCATATTTTATTAATGATATCGTTACATTTTTTTAATATTAATATTAATAATATTATTATTAATTATTCTATTGATCCCAGGAAAAATAGAGTTACCGCCCTTTGATTTATTAACACCACTTCTTGTTAAACCAGCGTCTCTCTAAATTTGAATTTATATTTCCCATTTCCAACGTTATTTTTAATCTTAAATGTTAACCTGGGCTGAACTTTAAATTCAAAACCAATTACAATTCATTTAATCTTTTTAATGATTTACATATTTATATGTTCTTATATAAAGCTCTTATTTCATTTAGTTTTATTTTACTCATGTTTGTTATCATTTTCTTTCCACTGATATGTATCATTATTATTATTATTATTCGGAGTATTTTTTTTTTTTATTATTTTATATTATTCGGACTATTGTCCTCATCTTTGTTGCCATATTTATCACACCGTTTCGGCCTTCTTCAGGTCGTCGGAAGGTGAACTGAAACTGTTCTAGTTCCACGTGTCATGTCTAATCTAATATCTAGTTATTTCCTGTTAATTCACCTCCCCAAGTTCTCCACTGCCTTGCCTAGGTATTGAACCCACACTTTTTGGGTCAAGTGACTTGATCTAACCAATGCCTTCATCTACTGTGCTATGTGCGCTTAAGGATATATGTGTATGAATTTCTGGGACTTATAAACTAAATGTCATCAGCAACTAATTATTTTACCATTGGTCGTATTGCAATTTTTGCTGTTATCATATATGTTTTTTTTACCAAAGCTCATATTGCAGTTTCTGTAGTTATTATTGATTTTCTCTGGCAGTCCTTATTACTGGTTCCCATACTGTATACATTTCTATGCTTGATTGGCTCAGGAGATTTTTGTAGCCTAGAATATGTGCTGATTCCTTAAGTTTATGAATTTTCCAATGATGTACTTTGTCTATGACTCCCACCTGATCTCATATAGTCCGAATAATGTAAATAGTGTGCATAATACATCATCTCAGAAATATAGACAGATACTGAAAGGCCGAAACGTTGTGATAAATATATATATATATATATATATATATATATATATATATAAAAAAATAAGTGAGAAACAGTATATATTATAATTTATTTTACATAGTTTTGCTACAATTGTTTCTAGTCTCGTGATTTTCATCATACATATTGTTAAAAGAATTTAACTTACCTTATGTT